GGGGGGGGGTACTCACAGTCGTCCATGCCGTAGTCGTTAGACCAATGACCTCGCATGCCTACAAAACCGGAACGGAGCACGCCGGGTTCTCACTGGATCAGGCTCTCACATCACCAAGCGCGAAGGGCCGTGAGGTATTCGACGAGTCGCACGAAGGGTGAGCTGCATCGTGCTAACGGGGTTCGGCATGTTGTGGTTACTTCCTTGCGTACAGATGACAGCTGCGTACGAGTTATTTTTTTTCTGGTTCTTTCACTTCCAGCGACAGTTGTAAGCGCTGCGTAACTGCCTCGAGGGTGTTTCACCAATTGCACACAACGTGGTGCGATTGTCCCCTTTGCGCTCAGTGAGGGTTCTCGACCCCGCAAAACATAATCCTGTCGACAACCATTCATCATGTCATGGATACCGAAATAACACGTCTAACCAAAGGCCAAAAATATACGATAACCTGGTTGCCGAGCTCACGAAGTAATCGGCTTATTTTTCAACATCGTTGCCAATCGACGAAAACGTAACCCCGATGGCAAACATAGGCGGGAGCGGCTTGTTGTACAACGTCGTTGCCAATCGACTAAATCCTAACCCCGATGACCAACACCGGGGGGGCTCAGTAGGGCCGGTACAGAGCAGTCTGGCTGAAGAAACACAATGGGGAGTGACCGCCACTATTGTCACTGGTGTCAACTGTAAGCAGGCCCAAATATGGCTACCCGAACCTCGATTGTGCCGGTCTAGTCGTCTTTGAGCTACACGAGAGTAGGTTGGGGAAGCAAAACATGCGAGGACTGATGAGTGCTATGCACGACAGCGAACAGTGGCGTAGTACAGAACACTGGTGAAGTACACCGTGGGGGCTGCCAGATAACCTTTTCGCGGCAAGCTCGTATGTCGATGTATCGTGCCATATGTGATCTAAAATACGAATTGGTAATCCCAAATTGTGGCCCGGTGCTCTATCGAACCTCAAGAATTACAGTATCGCTCTACATTTCGCGCTACACCGAAAGATCGGGAGGTAGATAATGAAGGTCGGGAGGTGGAAAATATTTTGGGGTAGTACACTCTTGTGTCGGTTACAATCAATCGCGTTGAGCTGTGGGGGGCGCCATCAGTGTGCAGTAGTCTTAGATGGGGGAGTGGTGGACTTCATCATCAGGTAGCAGCTACAAACATAAACTCTCCGTGTATCTTCGTCGACGACAGGTTGGTGCGCTTTACAGCAGCATTGTAGGTGCCAAATGGGCACTACGGACGAAGTCTCATAACGTTGTATCGGTGTATCGGCACAACGGCGGGTTGTTTCTGTGCAGATAACTTTCACCAGGACGATAGCGCGTATTGTCACTATGGGTTCCGAATCTACTTCCCTTTCCTATGGTTGTGATAAGGCTCGCTTCCTGCATGAAATGCGACCTCAAAGCTGGCGAGCACATCCAAGGATTGATCATATAGGCACCTGAAATACATGCGTTGTTACTTTCCGCCATGCTCGAGTTAAAGTTGAGCGCAGGCCTGCTGTCCTCACCCGTGTGCCACAACAACGGGTTGTCCTGGTGGTTCGGGTTGTTGAATCTGGCGCTTCGGAGCCCCACATGCGTTTTGAAATGGAACCTGCGGTGTGGTGTGACGTTGGGTGGCGGTTGCACTCGCATGACATTCGTAAATGTTTGGTATCAACGGCAACAGGTCGGCAGAATAAGCCATGATGCGTATTGGCGGACCCCAACAGGTTACAATAGTGAGGTCGATGGCAGGTAACAGTATGGAGCCAAGTTGCGAATGGGCCCATTCCGGAAGAAATTTCTCATATCCACATCCAGAAAACGGTCACCCAGTGGAGACTAGACTATGTTCGTCGTGCACCAACGAGTCGACGTTCGCCCGGCGCAAATACTATATAGTCTGCGGATGTCGTATCCCGTGTACCACTAGAAGGGTCCCGGCTAGACACCTCGAGCTGCATCCTTACACCGGTTCTATCATTGGTTTGGGTATGCATATCATGCATGCCCATTAGTGTAGTCTAAGAGTTTCGTTGTACATACACTGCAAACATGCCCGGAGGTACCTGTCGACGACGAGCTGAGTCCCCTTCCAGAACAGGTCTCGGCGTTTCCTGACGAACGCTTCGTAGCCGCACGCGGTGTCGTAGTAGAGCACGGCCGAGCTCCTGGTTTCGTCTCGAAAAAGCTTCTTCAAGGCTCTGTTCACCTCTTCGAACCCCTCGGCCTCATACATCGTCTCCACCCCACAGATGATACCGCACACCCAGCTCGATGTCAAACAACCGAAGTGAGAGCGTCTTCCGTGAATGCCCCTGAGGAGCGGCATGTCTTCCTCCTGCAGGACATCATTACCAACCGCACCGAGCACGACAATGAATGAGTGGGGCTAGGAGATATGAATATAGACTACAACATAGGATCGCTACAACGAGCGACAGCCGATAGATGTAACTGTCGTCGGACGTGTGCGGCCATAGCCGTAAAATGAGCACAACACCACACACTTGATACTACCTCGGCTGTGCGCTGGTGAGAGAACTGTTGTGCGGTAAATTATGCGAGATTTTGACCTGCCGGTTACCTCCCCCCCCCCCCCCCCCCCCCCCCCCCCCCCCCCCCCCCCCCCC